CGGGCTGACTTGTCCCTGCCCCTGCCCGCAGTGTACTCCCTGGACGGGCTGCTGGTCTTCGGGCTGCTCCTCGTCTGCACCTGCGCCTACCTGCGGAAGGTGCCGCGCCTCAAGGCCTGGCTGCTGTCCGAGAAGAAGGGTGTCTGGGGCGTCTTCTACAAAGGTGGGTCCCGGGGAGCGGCTGTCCCGGAGCCGGTCAGTGAGTTGTGGGGAGGGGGGGGTGCTGGACGCCACCGCTTGCTTCCCAAGTACTCGGCAGCCACAGACCCCCTGGGCCCTTCTCAAGCAGTGCCGTGGGCCCTTCTCAAGCAGTGCCGTGGGCCCTGCCCAAGCGGTGCCATGTACGCGGCGCAGCATGAGCACAGCCGCGCACGCCGCACCGCTTAGAGGGAGTGCTGTTCCCCAGTACCCCCAGGAGTATGTGTCACACCCGTGGCTGACAATCTTTGCTCTAGATTTCACAGGCGTTAGGGCTGGAAGGGACCTCGAGAGATCATCGAGTCCAGCCCCCCACCCCAGGGGCAGGCAGTCCACTGGGGTCATAGGATCCCAGCAAGATAAGCATTTAGACTGAAGCGAAGGCTGACCGCATCCCAGCGCCTCTAGAGCTGTGTTTCCCAACCTTTCCCAGCTTGTGTTAATAACGTTTTCCCGCAGCACACCTGTTAAGGCATCCCCCTTCTTTGTACCTATTGGAGCTTGTTGCCGTGGCAAAATTCCGCGGCACACCTGTTAATTTCGGACAACACACGTCTGTGCCGCGGCACGCGGGTTGGGAAGCACTGCTTTAGAGGTCTTGGCAGTAGGCAACAGAGCCAGGAGCCCGTTGTTAGTTTTGCCACTGACTGTCTCTGATTTTTATTTGTCTTAAGCGGAGGATGGTTATCTAATTCTTTTTGACACATCTTTTAGCCTGTAAGTAAAAAAGCGTCTGATATTTACCTTCTTTGCATACAGAGTACACGTTAAGCCTTACTCTATGTGGCAGATTGTTCTGAAAATATTGAGCATCATTTCCTAAGCACGGTGTGTGTGTATGTCTGTGCTCATGTGTTTGCCTTCTAGCTGCCGTCATTGGAACCAGACTTCATGCTGCGGTGGCTATATCCTGCATCTTGATGGCTTTTTATGTTCTGTTCATAAAATGAATGCTGAGGCTTCAGATGCACAAGCCTGTTTGGGAGAAACTGCTGAAAAGGAGGGTTTACTTGAAGGGGGAGAGCAATTACTCATCTCGGGAGAGGAATGGACGGAGCGCTGTGTGACGATCCAAGAGGGACTCTCCGCATACTGGGCTTCTTCCAAATCAAGAGTGTGACACTGCGTCCGTGACCACCCCAAGTCTTCTGTGCTCTTAGCAACATTGGAACATACTCTTTTATCTTCTTATCCCTTTCTGAAGTTATAGACATACATTATTTAGATCTCTGCCAATATAGAAATCAAACTCTGTTGGCTGTAACATTACACACAGTCTGCTCAAGGGAAACCTCTCGTGTATTAGTTTCTTTGGGTCTAATTGATGAATGAGCTCTCAAAGTTTGGCAGGCTGTGGATGGGAAATGAGTTGTATTTAAGCTGTTTTCAAGGGGATTCCTTGAGGGTAATAAAAAAAACTGGGGAGGGAGGAGTTGAGGTATTCAAGTCTAACATATGAGTTGTGCATGTTTGAGGGGCCAAAGACATGGTATATTAAACACACAAGCTGAAACTTCAGTGGGCAGTAAAGTGAAATCTGAGGTGGCCCTGAAGAAGACCTTCATGCAAGACAGCTTTTGGAGAACTGGAGTGCCATTCTCAGCAGATTAGTGGATCAGCGATAGCAGTATACGAGTCCGTGGTGCAAGCCTAGAAATTTATATCCTGTAAATGGGACTGAAGTATAGCAGAACTGCTATCTGGGACTCTGAAATAGTCCACAAATCATCCTCACTCTTGAATAGTAGAATGGATGAAAGTGCTTTGAAACTGTACATGGGATGTTAGTTCATACTAATGTGAGGGGATGGGGTAGGGAATCCTTATCTAACTTAGCAGATATGATCTTAAAGGGTAGCTAAAACCTAACTTGTTTGTTTGAAAAGTGTAAAGATTGTTGAAGATAAGTCTCCTATTCTCATTTTATTTTGTATTGCCATCTCTAGTGGCCCTGTCCTCTCATCTGGTTTTCTGCAATATCCAGATTGACACGTAGGACTCAATCCCCTGCAGCAGTTCTAGTGAAATTACACACTTGGCTACTTTTTGTAGCTTTAATTTTTTTAAAAAAATTCTGTTTATAAAATTCTAATTTAAAACTTGCAAATAAAATGTTTTCCCTACTGACTTTGTCCTCTTTCATTAAGCAAGAGCTAAATCATTTTCCTCTCCTGCCTTTTTACCTCATGGAGGCTAGAACCTATTGGATTTAAGGGGCTTTGGTAGGCTTTGAATTAAGTCCTAATAATAAATAAAGTACTGCATTTCTGTACTTATCTTACTAAAGTTTATTTGGTTGTGGATGGCTCTGGGTAACTGCTGTTACAAAATCTTAGGAAGGCAGCTGAGGTTGTGGAGCAATATGTAAAACTCACAGTGGTGGAGCTTTAAAACAACTTAAAAGGAAGTATTTCTAGCTATGTGATATCAGTTTTTGTAGGCACTGATAGATCTGGAGTAAGTGCATATCTGGACCCCTATTACATTAGTATCTAAGCATCTCTCGGTCCCTAATGGATTTATTAACTGTACAGTGGCATGTAGGACAGTGCTTTTACCTTGTTTGTACATAGAGTAGGTGACCTGTCCAGGTCACACAAGGAAATGAACCTGGCTGCTAGAAGTCCAACAGCTGCTCTCTCACCAGTGGACCATATTACTTCCTCTTACACACGACTCTGCTTCCTTGACCTTGGCCCCTGAGGACTACATGTATTAACTCCTTCATCCACTATGTTTTAATAGCAAAGCTCCAGTGTTTACCAGGCCAAGAATCTAAACTCGCCCTCTTATTGTAGGACTTTGAAATCACATCATCCCCTCCATATTCTATATTATTGACTAAGCCAAGCTTGTGCTGTCCTCTTGGCAGAGGGAACTGTAGGACAGCAAATCTGAGAGGTGGCTGATCACAGATAACAAGAATTGCCATTTACTGGTTCCATCTTGCCCAGTATCCCATGTCACACAGTGGCAGTGTGGATGCTGACAGAGTGAACTGGGTCTGATCAGGGTTTTTTTCCACTGTTCCTGTTGCTGGCAGCCTCCAGCACTTAAAAGTCTAGGAAGTTCTGGTTTAGAGGCTGTATCCCTAATTCCCATGCTCGGCGGCTGCTGATGCTCCTTTCGTCCAAGAACGTAGTGACTGAATTTAACCAGGCTTTAAGACTTCAATCACATCTACCCCACTGTTAATATGTCCAGATCCAGCTGCAAGTCAGTTGTAGAAGCTGGGTTTTCCTTGTCCAAATGGCAAAGAATATTATCACTGAATTGTGCTGTCGATGAGTGTGTGAACTTACCTACACAGGGAAAATCTTTTTCTTGACAGCTGTTTAGAAGCGGCAACCCCAGGAGGCAGATCCAAGGAGAGATGGAGTTCCAGGGGCCAGTGAAACAGAGGTCACTGTTGTGTTTCTGCGGTGTTTAAACTGTCCAGTGGATAAGAGCTGGTATGGGAGGAAGCGAGAGTTGCAGAAGGGAGAACGGCACAAGATCAGAAAGCAAGTAACAGCAGGCTGAAACACTGCTGTGCAACCCACATGAAAATACTGAAAGAAAAGACTCTGCCCTGCGGGGACAACAAATGAATCTTTAGAGCCAGAGAAGCAATAAGGAATTGCATTGCCTCCTACAAATAAAGCGGATCGGCCTGTACTTACATTAGGGCAGTTGTTCTTGGATGGAGGAAGCAATTACTAATCCCCCTAGTCCCTGCTACGTTAGGCAATTCACTTGTGAGTGGCGGTAGACGTTTAGACGAGACACGCGTGCAATGTACCCCGCAATAATGGATCATGCCATAAATTTGGGCGCAAGGCCGTGCACTCCTCCGGCCAGCAGCAGGAGCTAGAGGAGCCCGGCGGGCGGGCAGCGGAAGCGGCGGGGCGGGGCGAGCGGAGCTCAGAGCGGGGCAGCGCGTGGGGCGAGTGGAGGCAGCCGTGTGCGTGCGTGCGTGCATGGCGGGCGGGTGGGGGGGCGCGCGTGGGGCGTGTGCGGGCTGCCGCGTGCGTGCGTGGGGTGTGTGCGGGCCCCGCCGTGTGCGCTACACGTTGATCTTATTCGATCGGGCCGGGACGCCGCCCGCCCGGCCCGAGAGG